TTTTGGATGATTTTTCTTTGTTAAATGGCATTTAAATATATAAAATAAATATCAAAAATATAAGTCTTTGTTTTACTATGGTTGCAAAGATCAAAAAATTTCTCTATGTGACACGGCACCAGAGTTAAGTTAGGGTTTTCCAAAAGGCTGACACGCCGAGCTCAGAAGGTTCGCCATCACTGCCCTAGCCCAATTCATACAGGTGGATGAGCGTGGGAAACGGGTGGTCAGAGAAAGGACCATTCCTTTCCCCCCGACCAGGGGCCATGAGGAGCTGTTCATTCTCCTCTTACAGGGCCTCTTGGAAAGATGGTCACCGCAAGAATGGACACTCATGATCGCTTCTTCCTTAGGTCAAGTTGGGAGACGTCAGTAAGAGGTTGTCTGGCCGGTCAACACACACTCTGTTTGCTCTTTAGGTAAATACTTAACCATCCAGAATGGCAAACACTGCTTTATGGCATGTAATAAATTCTAAATTACTAAGACATGGGACTATTTTATAATGGGCCTAAAAAAACAAAGATGGCCCTGGCTGGTTTGGCTCAGTGGATAGAGTGTCAGCCTGCAGATTGAAGGGTCCCAGGTTCGATGCCAGCCAAGGGCACATGCCTGGGTTGTGGGCTCGATTCCCAGTGGGGGGCGTGCAGGAGGCAGCTGATCAATGATTCTCTCATCATTTATGTTTCTCTCTCTCTCTCTCTCTCTCCTTCTCCCTTCCTCTCTGAAATCAATAAAGAAATATATTTGAAAAAAAAAGAGAAAGAAACAAAGACGGCCCTGGCCGGTTTGGCTCAGTGGATAGAGCATCGGCCTGCGGACCAAAGTGTCCCAGGTTTGAGTCCGGTCAAGGGCATGTACCTCGGTTGCAGGTTCCTCTCCAGGCTGGGCCCTGGTCGGGGCTCACGCAGGAGGCAACCATTCGATGTGTTTCTCTCACATCAATGTTTCTCTCTGTCTCTCCCTCTCTCTTCCACTCTCTCTAAAATCAATGGAAAAATATCCTTGGGTGAGGATTAAAAAACAAACAAACAAAGACGACAACTGGAGATTTCCCTGGTGGAAAAGGCATGCTGTCGAGAATGCTGTAGGCCAGGGGTCCTCAGACTTTTTAAACGGGGGCCAGTTCACTGTCCCTCAGACGTTGGAGGGCCGGACTATAGTTATAAAAAATAAATGAACAAATTCCTACGCACACTGCACATATCTTACTTTGAAGTAAAAAAACAAAACGGGAACAAATACAGTATTTGTATTTGCATGTGGCCCGCGGGCCGTAGTCTGAGGACCCCTGCTATCGGCAGACATTTCTGCAGGGTCGGCAAAGGTAAAGCCAAACTAAAGTGCTTCCCCTGGGAACTCTGCTGGCGGTACTGTGTGGCGTGTCTGCGAGACCCTAAACGGCGGAGACTTAGGGAGGCTACCCAGCAGCAGGCACAAAGGTGAGATGCCAAGACAGAATTTTCAAAAACTGGAGCCAAGACCAATGGTAACAATGGCCAAGAGCGGAAAACAGGGCTGAGAGAGGTGCTGGCTTCTCGGAAGATGGAAAGCAAAGCCTCCAGGGACACGGGAGGCTTGGGAGAGGTTCCTGTGGCGGTCAGTGTGGGTCACCGCAGGAGCAAACCCAATAGGGTCCTGGTCACAACGCGGGCCTACAAGGTTCTAGAAAATGGAAAGGAGATTTGCTTTCAAGATTGTCTCACCGACTACCTTCCAGCCCCGCTAACTCGGTTATTTTTAGGACAGAAGACAAGTCAGCCTTAGTTCTCATCAGTCACCAGAGAGAAAGAGGGAAGGAGCAATTTACAACAGCTAAGATCTGGAAACAGCCCAAGTGCCCATCAGTAGACAAGTGGATAAAAAGGCTGTGGTACATTTATACCGTGGAATACTATGCAGCAATAAAATAGAAGGAACTCTAATCCTTCGAGACAGCCTGGAGGGACCTGGAAAGTATCATGCTAAGTGAATAAGTCAGTCAGAGGAAGACAAGCATCACATGATCTCACTCATATGTGGAATCCATTCAACAAAATAAACCGATGAACGGAGTGGGTCCAGAGTCATGGAAGCAGGGAACAGAGTGTGGACTCTCGGAGGGAAGGCGGAGGAGGGTGGGTGAGTGGGAAGTAATCATCCAAAGACCTTGTATGCATATATGCATAACCCATGGACACAGACAAGAGGACACTGAAGGCCTGGGGTGGGGGGCGGGGTGGGCTGTAGGGGATCAATGGGGTAAAAGGAGGACATATGTAATATTTTGAACAAAGATCCTATATAATAAAAGCCTAATATGCTAAGTGTCCAGTGTTCAACCAAAGTGTAATATGCTAATGATATGCTAAGGCTGCTCAAATGCTATGATGTGCACTGACCACCAGGGGGCAGATGCTCCGACCAGTAGGTTAGCTTGCTGCTGGTGTCCGGCTGATCGGGACTGAGTGAGACGGGCTGGACACACGCTAGAGCCCTCCTGAGATCCTTCCCCAGCTGGCCAACCTCCCACATTCCTCCCTGGCCCTGATCGATCCTACACCAGTGGGGTCCCTCAGCCTGGCCTGCGCCCTCTCACAATCCAGGCTGAGGGGCCCCCCCGCACCCGAGTGCATGAATTTTTGTACACCAGACCTTTAGTACTTATTATCCTATCTAATAAAAGAGTAATATGTAAAATAACCTAAGAAAGAGGGATGAGGGAGAGTAGCAGGGAGGGAGGGAGGAAGGATGGGGGAGGAAGAGGGAGGGCAAGAGAATGAGAATAGAGATGTCTTAAGACGTGAGGTGAAGCCAACTAAATGGATTCACCCCAAATCTTGTGTCTGCTGACAGGAAGCTGAGATGAGGAGAGAACAAGAGCAATAATCTAAGGTTCATGCAGAACAATCAAACTTGTGCCCTCCTAAAAAGTTAAAAAGGCAGAAAACTAGTTTATCTGTAAGAAAATGTTTATTCTTTTGAACCCCACAGGAAAAAAAAAATGCAGCCAAGACCAAGTATTTAACAAAAATAATGTCCCAAAAGGCAGCAAAATGGGGGAAACCTCAACACAAAGTCAGTGACAATTTTCCATGTTTTTGCACAAAGATGAAAAAAATCCATGACAATTCTGAGTAACACTTCCATGGTGACAATTACACAAGATGATTCAAAAATGCAAAATGGCAGCAACATGCACACCTGGCTAAAGCTAGAAGGTTTTCTTAAATCCCAAAATAAGATCTGTGTTTAAAAGGATGATTCTTTTTAATACTTCTATTTTGCTGACTTGCTTGTCCTACTTAATTTTCTTTAAATGAGACGTACATGCCAATTAACAGGAAATTTTAGAAGAACTATGTCCTTCCAGAATCCATGGCAAGGAAGCAAAACCAATCTATTTGGTTTCTTAATTTTCCTAGTTTCCAAATACAATTTTGCTTTGCCCCTCCCTCTCCCAGTCCCTCCCCCCACCCCCACCCTGATTCTTAAACACTTCCGAAAGTTGCCAGTGCAAACACTTTTCTATCAATGTATAATATACACTTGAAACTGAAATCTTTGTGCAGAGTTTTGAGTTTAGAATTTTTTAAACAAAACAGAACAAAAACAAACCCTCCTTGGCACAAGAGCTGAGGAATAGTCAAGTTTGTTTTAAATCATCAAACGTAAGATAATGAAGAGTGAAAAGCACAGTTAGGTGAAATGAAATGAAAACAAAACAAAAACAAAAGAACCTAGAACTGCAGCTTTTATTAGCTGTCATTGCAGCCTCACGTACACAAACACCACCCAGCTCACCTTCCCAAGGTGCTGGGTTTTAGACACGCCCAGAACACTGTGGTGCCTTCTATGACAGGAAACAAAGTGCTGGTCGTGGTGGTGACGAGCAGCCCAGCTACCCACCAGTTTTACAGCAGGATCCGCAGTGAGCTCGGTACAGATAGAAGATAGATGATGACAAAGGGGGAAAATAGTCTAAAATCATCAAGTTTCCTCTTGAAATGTCTTTTCCCAAGGCACTGTGAACAAGACTGCCGCTAGCAATTTTCTAGGTCTAAACACACTGATGGGAATAGAAACATTTCAAATACATCTAGTCTCATTGCCTGAGTCTCTCCCCTCAGCTTAAATGACACTC